ATATCAAAAGTTAAGTTTATCGTATAGTTTATGCTTATTTATACTTTTTCTAAAAAACTTTTTTTGTTGGAATGTTTTCTGTGGAAGCTCGTGAGAGAGAGAGAGAGAGAGAGAGAGAGAGAGAGAGAGAGAGAGAGAGAGAGAGAGAGAGAGAGAGAGACAAGGAAGAAGAAGAACAAACGGCGGTGGAAACAAGCCGGCGTGAAGCTTTTTAGGGCTGAGAGAAATGAGTGTACATTTTGTTTATTTTATTTTGAATATTATTTTTCCATTGGGTTTTTACGTTTTAAGTTTTTTACACGTCTCGTATTTTACTATTTTCATTACCACACTGCTATGTAAAATTTTAAATTTTAATGATTGATTGACACCAAATTGTTGAATATGTTTACATCATGTGTTAATTATATAAAAATAAGTAAATTTTATTTTAAATGTAAACGATTACAGTCTTTATCATCTTAATTAAAATAAAAGTACAAATGAGAAAAATGTCCAAGATTGTTTTTCTCAATTACCACAAATTATTGCTTTAAAAAAAAACTAGTAATAGTAAACTATTCAAAATCCGTGTATTTATAATATAGATTTTACCCAAAAAAACACCTTGAAAATTACTAAAAATTATTAATTGTTCATCTGATTAGAGTATCCAAAATCTTTGTATTTTACGGCTAATACCCAACTTGTAGTTTCGTAGAACTTTGTGTGAAGGTAAACGGAAAATTACATAGGTGTTTAATAAGAATTGTTGTAATTCACATAGTGAAAACCAAAAATAGTATCTCCCACAATTCCAACATTTAAGGTTTTATAAGCCTCTTCAATTGTATTTTTATTTTCTGATAGGGATTTTCTAATATAAAATCAATAGTTATTGATAAAACAAATTAAATAGCTTAATCAAATGAAATTAACTAAATCATAAATAAGTAGACCCTCTAATTAATTAATTAATTAATGTCAATTCTCGTACGTACCACTAAAACTAGTTTTTTTCTTCAAAAACAACATTGTTAGTTTTATTCCAAAAGTACCATTAAAAATGTTCTGACTAACTATTTGTTTGAGTCTCTCTTACTTAGATTTATACCAAATGCTGCAATTTGCTAAAAGATTGGAGGTTTGGAGTAATAGATTAAACGTACCTCTATTAAATTTTATGAAAGTAGGTTGACGCTCCACTCTCCACATTGACTGATTAAACCAATTGTATCAACTTATTTCTCATATATCTTTATGTTAATTTTCTTCAAGTTTTTCAATAATTAACTTTCATTCATACTTATTTAATCATCAAATATTTATTTTCAATAAATAATATTAAAATATCACTAAACAATAGGTTAGCATGACTGTCATTTGTAGCTTGCAACCTTCATCTATATCATCTTAATGAGATGTACACATATCCTTCATTTCTATTTTTGCACCATTGCTTGATTTGCATCGGACGACTACCTCTTTTTTATTAATATTGTGTCTTCTCCCACGTCAACACGATCTTTTCCCATTGGACCTTTGTAAATCCCAGGATTCTCCCAATTTTTAATGTAGCAGCTACTGGATGTGTTTTTAGACGTTCTAAAGCTTGTTGTAACGTCTCATATTGAAAAGCATCAATTTGCCATATCTTTTCTCATTCGCAAGGAGCTGCCTTTTCATTTAGCAATCAAAATATCTACACTCTTTTTGATAAAATACACACAAAAATTATATCCATATTCAAAAAAGAAATGAACAAAAAAAAGAACAACATAATAATATAAGTTGATTTTTTTTTACTCTAAATAAAAAATATGCGTAGACCTTAGAGTAGGTTTGTTGTGTTTACGAGTGTTCTAAAATGTTTGGTTGAGTTTTTATCGCATAATGATATTGACATTTGTTGAGTTTTCATTGCATAATTCATAGAGTTATTCCATATACATACTAAAAATTGTACTCCCTCACCTTTTTACCTCAATTTTGTTTTGTATTTCCTTATTTATCTTTTAAATCAAAAAATTTGATGGCTTATCTCAAAGGTTATTCTGTGAAAAAAAAGTTACCAACATGTGGATCAATATCTAAATTTCTCTATTTAATATTAATATATCACTATAATGTTTACTTCCACATCAATATATTTTTGTTTACATCCATATCCATATATTTTTGTTTACATCCATATCCATATTTTTTTTTTAAATGACCAAAAAAAGAACAACAAAATAGTAGTTGGAGTTGTTTTAATCTTAAGTAAAAAAAAATATGGTAGCCACTTATTGAATTAAAGCCAAGCCTCAATGATATTAATAAAGCAAAGTGGAAAGCATTAAAAAAAAAATACACTGCTCTGTTTTGGCGGGTCTTTCTTCATATGTGTTAACGAACCAGAGCTCGTCGTTTGTCGTAAGATTGAGAGGAATCGATCTCGGATATGAACGTGTCTATCATATATCGGAGATTCTAAGGCCCACCACTACGGGCGTTACGCTCTAAAGTCGAACTTAAGCTTTACTGGTAGTGGTGGTGGGTGTTGAAGAAACTCGCCCATGGTTTTTGTTATCTCTGCCGCCAAGTGTCGATCTTTCTTCGCCACTTCTCGGCAAGTTACAGTTACCCTAAAGATGGAGTCTTTCTTCGATCCCGTATACATATGCTGGAGTGGTTTCTTCAACAAAGACCTCTCCTTTTGGGTTTGCCTTGTAAGTGTTTGTGTTTTTGCCTCTGAGAAAAAAATCATGCCGACTGGTAGGTTCGAGACTATGCGTGAATGGGTTCACGACGCCATCTCTGCTCAACGTAATGAGCTCCTCTCTCTTTTCTCCAGGTCTCTTCTTAACCCTCTCTCTCTCTGGTTGTTCGTTTTCCTTGCATGTGTGTTATGATTGATCTCAAGAGTAATGGTTTTGTTTTGCCACCTTTAGATATGTAGCTCAGGGAAAGGGGATACTGCAGTCACACCAGCTGATTGATGAGTTCCTTAAGACTGTGAAAGTTGATGGAACAACTGAAGATCTTTACAAAAGTCCATTCATGAAAGTTCTGCAATCTGCAGAGGTGAATCTTATGATGACTATGTTATGTTCATGTATCTTTCGATTTAGGCTTTATTGATTTGTGTGTGATACACATAAGTTTTTTGCACCCAGGAAGCCATAGTTTTGCCTCCGTTTGTTGCCATGGCTATTCGTCCCAGACCTGGTGTTAGGGAATATGTCCGTGTTAATGTGTATGAGCTGAGCGTTGATCATTTAACTGTTTCTGAATATCTTCGGTTTAAAGAAGAGCTCGTTAATGGCCAGTAAGTAAATGCCTTCGTGCAAAGTTTTTGTGTGTGTTTATATTGATCAGCTCTATACACAAATGTAGTGGAGTGATTAGCATAGAGAGTTCCTAGTACACAATAATGTTTTGATATATGCATATATGTAATATATTCTTACTAGATATATGTCCAGTGATTTTCTTAAGCTATTTAAAGGATGAGGCAATGAGAAAATTTAGGCAGACTAAAATTATTTGGGAAAACTCTGCAAGTTTATGCAATTAAGACTTGGAAATGAAGCACATTAATTGTCATCGCAATATTTTATTCTGCTATAAATAAACTTTTATGTTTTTAACTTCTCTGCTTGGATGCTTAAAGTGTCAATCTTTTTCTTCAGTGCCAATGGAAATTATCTTCTTGAGCTTGATTTTGAACCTTTCAATGCTACATTTCCTCGCCCAACTCGGTCATCATCTATTGGGAATGGGGTTCAGTTCCTCAACCGTCACCTCTCATCAATTATGTTTCGGAACAAAGAAAGCATGGAGCCTTTACTTGAGTTTCTCCGCACTCACAAACATGATGGCCGTGTTAGTTTTTTCGACCCTTGAATGTAGTTTATTTCATAAACATTGTGTAATTAGTATATAACACTGATCCATACTCTCTCTCTGTATGATGCAGCCCATGATGCTGAATGATCGTATACAGAATATTCCCATACTTCAGGGAGCTTTGGCAAGGGCAGAGGAGTTTCTTTCTAAACTCCCTCTGGCGACTCCATTCTCTGAATTCGAATTTGAGTAAGATTTTTCATTCTTTTGTCATTCCCTGCATATTCTTTCTCCTTAATTGTTCGCCAACAAATTATGTTGCCTTTTTTTTCTTCTTGGAAAATGTGCTTTGGTGAAGACTACAAGGGATGGGATTTGAAAGGGGGTGGGGTGACACTGCACAGAAGGTTTCAGAAATGGTGCATCTCCTTCTAGACATTCTCCAGGCACCTGATCCTTCTGTCTTGGAGACTTTTCTTGGAAGGATTCCTATGGTGTTCAATGTTGTGATTTTGTCTCCGCATGGTTACTTTGGCCAAGCCAATGTCTTGGGTCTGCCTGATACTGGTGGACAGGTAGCTTTGATCGTAATCTTCCATTTCTGGGAACTTGGTGGTTCTCTATATTGATTCAACTTATACTCTACTGTTGAGATTTGCAGGTTGTCTACATTCTTGATCAAGTACGTGCTTTAGAAAGCGAAATGCTCCTTAGGATACAGAAGCAAGGACTGGATGTTGTTCCAAAGATTCTCATTGTAAATTTTCTTGCTGACTATTTACTTCATTCTTCTCCATTTTAAAATTTGGCATTCAAGTTTCAGTGTAAGTTCATGTCTCCTTGCTGGCTTCTATAGGTAACAAGGTTGATACCCGAAGCAAAAGGAACGACGTGCAACCAGAGGTTAGAAAAAGTTAGTAGTACAGAACACGCACACATTCTGCGTATACCATTTAGAACTGAAAAAGGCATTCTTCGCAAGTGGATCTCGAGATTTGATGTCTGGCCATACCTGGAGACTTTTGCAGAGGTTAGAAATTACTAGTAGGCAGATTTCTATATATCTGCTGCAATTTTTTTTTGCTTCTTTTTTAGATGGGGTTAGGATGGAGTAAGGGTAACTAAAGAATATACTTGTACTTGTACATATGACGTAGGATAATCCATTTCAGCTGTAAATTCACATATATGGGCTAACACTTACTTCTATGTGACTAGGATGCATCAAACGAAATTTCGGCAGAGTTGCAGGGTGTACCAAATCTCATCATTGGCAACTACAGTGACGGAAATCTTGTTGCTTCTTTGTTAGCTAGTAAGCTAGGCGTGATACAGGTTGATGAATTTTACACTAACATTTCTCTGTATTATTAAATTAAGTCTTGTAAAATTTTGGTCTGACCTCTCTCCTTTGCCATCTGAGATGCAGTGTAATATTGCTCATGCTTTAGAGAAAACCAAGTACCCTGAGTCTGACATTTACTGGAGAAACCATGAAGATAAGTATCATTTTTCAAGTCAGTTCACTGCAGATCTAATTGCCATGAATAATGCTGATTTCATCATCACCAGTACATACCAAGAGATTGCAGGAAGGTAAAAATGTCATTGGATATTCAACTGCATGGTCTTGCCTCTGGAATTGTGGTTTAATGCCAACAGAAACTGTTTTTCTTTTGTTACAGCAAGAATAATGTTGGGCAATACGAGAGCCACACAGCTTTCACTCTCCCTGGTCTTTACCGAGTTGTTCATGGAATTGATGTCTTTGATCCCAAGTTTAACATAGTCTCTCCAGGAGCTGATATGACCATATACTTTCCATATTCTGACAAGGAAAGAAGACTGACTGCCCTTCATGAGTCAATTGAAGAACTCCTCTTTAGCGCAGAACAGAATGATGAGCATGTGTAAGTCCTTTCAATAATTCTGATTCAGTAATAGAAAACGAAATATCCTTTTTCACATTATATTTGTATTGGCTTGCATGTCTCAATCTTTTTTTGTGTTGATACAGTGGTTTACTGAGCGACCGGTCAAAGCCAATCATCTTTTCCATGGCAAGACTTGACAGGGTGAAAAACTTGACTGGGCTAGTTGAGTGTTATGCCAAGAATAGCAAGCTGAGAGAGCTCGCACATCTTGTTGTAGTCGGTGGCTACATCGATGTGAATCAGTCCAGGGACAGAGAAGAAATGTCTGAGATACAAAAGATGCACAGCCTGATCGAGCAGTATGGTTTACATGGTCAGTTCAGGTGGATTGCTGCTCAAATGAACCGTGCCCGAAATGGTGAGCTTTACCGTTATATGGCAGACACAAAAGGTGTTTTTGTTCAGGTAACATGAAATAAATTCATAAATACTTGGACTTTTTGTTAGGTTAACAGACCATCTAATCTCTCTCTTTTTTCACTATAGCCTGCTTTCTATGAAGCATTTGGGCTTACAGTTGTGGAATCAATGACTTGTGGTCTCCCAACGTTTGCTACTTGTCATGGTGGACCAGCAGAGATTATCGAGAATGGAGTTTCAGGGTTCCACATTGACCCATATCATCCAGACCAGGTTGCAGCTACCCTGGTCAGCTTCTTTGAGACCTGCAACACCAATCCGAATCATTGGGTAAAAATCTCTGAAGGAGGGCTCAAGAGAATCTATGAAAGGTTGGCCTAATTTCCTTGACAGGCTTAACAACAGTACTCTAATCGCTTCACCCAGCTAATTCTATAAGGGCTTGTGCATGTATAGGTACACATGGAAGAAGTACTCAGAGAGGCTGCTTACGTTGGCTGGAGTCTATGCATTCTGGAAACATGTTTCTAAGCTCGAAAGGAGAGAAACACGACGTTACCTAGAGATGTTTTACTCTTCGAAGTTCCGTGATCTGGTTAGTGTAACTCACGCTTCTTCTTCTCCTCTTTTTTCTTGGATGTATTCTCCTACTTTACCTACATAATTCTATTTTCGGCTTACAGGCCAATTCAATCCCGCTGGCAACAGATGAGAATTGAGCAGGACATGGTTGGTTTCTATTTGCTGCACTCTCTTTAGAGCTTTTGTTTGTGTTATCTTGAATAAAGAAAGCTGTTGTGTTTTGTTTCCTTGCGTGATTTGATTCTGGACCTGTTTGTGTTAATGTTGTTTTGTTTGTTTTCTTAATATCAATAACAATAAACCAGTGGTTGGTTGAATCTAAGATCTAACAGTAGTTACTATTTTTAGAGGTAAATACACAAACATTGCTATAACGTTCCAAAGCTAAAACCTTAACTTGTTGGGAAACAAACCCCTAACGACAGAACCCACCCCCAATAATAGCACTTTGCATTTGCATTATATTATTAACTCCACTCTTGTCTCTCCTTCCTTCTAACCAAAACAGAGTCGCAAGGAGCCTCTAAGCAACAGTTAGAAGCCCTTCCAAACAAAAAATGGGGATCGATGGTGAATTGAAAAAGAAGAAATGCATCATTGCTGGGATTATCACGGCTTTGCTCGTTGTCATGGTTATCGCTGTCGCCATCATAATGTCAAGAAATACCATCGGTTCAGAGACAATCGCTGGGGTGCAGATCAAAACAACCACCAAGGCAGTTCAAGAAGTTTGTGCACCTACTGATTACAAAGAGACTTGTGTCAACAGTCTCATGAAAGCTTCTCCTGACTCCACTCAGCCTCTTGAACTCATTAAGCTTGGCTTCAACATCACCATTCAATCCATTAAAGATAGCATCAAGAAAGCTTCCGAGGAGCTGAAAGCCAAGGCAGCCAAAGACAATGAGACCAAAGATGCTTTGGAGTTGTGTGAGAGTCTTATGACTGATGCTACAGACGATTTGAAGAAGTGTCTTGATAACTTTGATGGTTTCTCAATCACTCATATTGAGGACTTAGTCGAAGATCTTCGTGTTTGGCTTAGTGGCTCCATCGCTTATCAACAAACATGCATGGATACTTTTGACGAAATTAACTCGAACCTTTCACAAGACATGCACAAGATCTTTAAAACATCCAAAGAGCTAACTAGTAATGGTCTTGCCATGATTACAAGCATCTCTAGCTTTCTCGGAGGGTTCAACATGACAGGTAATATTTTCATTTGTTACTTGTTCACTTGAATACATGTCTAGCTAGGTCTTACGCAAGTAGTCTGAACCAAAACAATACTACCATTTTGGGTGACAGGATTAACTGGAGATCTCGGACACTACGCTAGAAAACTCTTGTCGACCAAGGACGGTATCCCAAGTTGGGTTGGACCAAACACTCGACGGCTCATGGCAACGCAAGGAGTTGTAAAACCTAATGTAGTGGTAGCTCAGGACGGAAGCGGTCAGTACAAAACTATCAATGAAGCCTTGAATCTTGTGCCTAAAGCAAACCAAAATCCATTTGTTATCTACATCAAGCAAGGTGTCTATAACGAGAAAGTTAACGTGACCAAGAAGATGACTCACGTCACTTTCATCGGTGATGGACCAACCAAAACTAAGATCACTGGTAGTCTCAACTATCACATCGGCAAGGTCAAGACATACCATACTGCCACTGTTGGTGAGAGTCCCAACTCTGTTTTTTAACGTTTTAGCCACTTGCTTTTTTTGTTATCTACCTACTTAACCTATTTTAATATATACAGCCGTCAACGGTGATAACTTCACGGCCAAGAACATAGGTTTTGAAAACACTGCTGGTCCCGAAGGACACCAAGCCGTAGCCCTAAGAGTCTCAGCGGACTATGCTGTTTTCCACAACTGCCAAATCGATGGTTACCAAGACACACTCTACGTCCATTCTCATCGTCAGTTCTACCGTGACTGCACAATCTCCGGCACTGTTGACTTCATCTTCGGAGATGGCAAAGTCGTGTTACAAAACTGTAACATTGTGGTTAGAAAACCAATGAAAAATCAGTCTTGTATGATCACAGCTCAAGGCCGGACCGATGTACGTGAGTCCACGGGGCTCGTGCTACACAACTGCCACATTATGGGAGAACCAGAGTACATTCCGGTTAAGTCTATAAACAAAGCATATCTTGGAAGGCCATGGAAAGAGTTTTCAAGAACCATTATAATGAGAACAAACATAGACAACGTTATTGATCCCGCGGGATGGCTTCCTTGGGATGGTGACTTTGCACTTAGTACGCTTTACTATGCTGAGTTTGAGAATACTGGGCCTGGCTCGGACCAATCACAACGTGTTAAGTGGCCTGGGATCAAGAAACTGTCGCCTAAGCAAGCTCTTCGGTTCACTCCTGCTAGGTTTTTACGTGGTAACTTGTGGATACCACCGAATCGTGTGCCTTACATGGGGAATTTGCAGTAGATTGGCCTGTTTTTGTGATTTAAACCAATAATTATTTTAAAGGTGAATAAGTTTTCTATGCATGTCATTTGTTTTCTATGTAGTCGGGTTAATATTATTTTTTTAAAATAACTTTTGTCAAGAACAACTAAAGAAGAACTTAAACTTTACATTAATGTGTAACGGAAGATGAAAATAATTCATTATAGTTCATAGTTCATACCAAGCTGACGTATAAAGAGAGTCACTCTAAACTTTTTGTTAAAGCAATGCATGCTCTTGTCCTTGTCTATGTTCTTGTCATTGGAATGATGGTTCTTTGCTCTATAGCCTTGTCAATGTTTTAGTATGTTCTTTACTTTGGTCTCCGCTGTTGGGAATGTCCAGAAATCATTTGTATTTACTCTAGTTTAAGTTGTATCGACAAGGTTCGAAAGTCGAATAATATTAGGTGATTATAACGTTTTGCTAGAAACCACTTATAATCAATGACTTTAGAAGTTCATTACTAATATTATACTATCCTACAAAAGTCACACAACTAAGCAAACTGGAATAAGGTTGGATTATATAATATAATATATATGTTATATGAGATATACATATATGTTTATATTTGTGTATTTATAATAAAGTGTTTATTATATATATATATATATGTATAAAAGGTTGACGTGAGAAGTAATTGGGCTTATGGCCCATTAACAAACTAGGTTTACTAGTAGATTTCGTTAACGTGATGTGATACACACTCTCGTAGCCGAACCTAATATTAGACAAAGAGGTTTATCACGTTCTTGAGCTGATCTCTTGACGATACTAGCATCCCGTCTGATCTAGTATGGATATCAGTAGAGACACAACGTGTGGAGTGCTTTTCAACTTCGGTTTATTCTAGTTCATCGTTCTGCTACAAACTACCGAAGTATATTTATAATTTGATGACATAGATTTAGTTCAATATTTACATGAATCCTGGCAACTGAATTTGTAATTTGTAATTTGTAATTTGTACTTTCACGTACATTTTGATATATGTATTATGTTTAAAATAGTAAGTTACATTTTGACTTCTGGTTTAGGTTTATTGATTAAGAGTTTCACTGTTTTATGGATCAGAGAAAACTAAATAGCTTTTTAGATGTTTTTGATCAATGGTTTTCTTTTTGGCGTGGCTTTGGTGGATATTAATCACTTTTTTTAATTGATAACATTTGTTATAACACGAAGAAGTAAAGATGTGAATACGTACCAAAGTTAGTATCGCTAGAGACACATAAGACCAACATTATAGGTAGTATGTTAATTAGGGTATCTTAGAATTAATTAGTATTAAATTTGAAAAAGTAGAGTTTAAGAGTTTTTAGTTTTGAGATGTGTTTATTGGTAGGATCTTAAGTTGGGTATCTTAGATATTTTTTTATAATTTGTAATTTAAGAAAATTTTATAATTATTGCAAATTTAGAATTTGAAAACATACATAAGAGAGAAATTATAAGATAGAAATTATAACCTAAAGTACAATAAATTTAAACTTGACTACGTGAAAATTTACTCCAAATATGTTCGCCCAAATCGTTCTTCAATTGTTCATGCTTAGCTCGATCTCGAAGTCGAGTTCTAGCGGCCATCAGATCGACAAAATTTGAAGGCATATATGTATCATACGAGAAATCCACTCGTGTACTTTTGGCAGTTTCCGCTTGTTGAAATTCGGTAACATTAAACTGAATATACATATCTCGTTCATTTTCATCTGGATATCTTAGAAAGAAAATAAAATTATTTAAAAAATTAAAATTTGTAATTTGAGAAAATTTTATAATTATAGCAAATTTTAAAATTTTAAACAAACATAATATGGTGGTCGTCGATTGACAAAAAAAAAGATGGTGGTCGTCGGTGATATTGTTGTTTCGCATCGCGAGAAAAAAAGAGAAAAAAACTAAGTTAATTTTTCTCCCCTTATATATTTATCTCTGTATCCAATCAAAATGTGCCACGTATACGTATCTTAACCCTCCAAAAGTATCTTGTATAAGATACCTGTCTCAAGTATCTTACCTAAAATTATGATTTTTGATTTAAATTTAAATCTTAAATTTGCTTAAATACCCTTTAAATCTCCTTGATAATGTTGCTCTAAGTTTCCTTACCTTTCGACCTTATTCGAACTTTGTAAAGAAAAGTGGTGAGTCTCACGTCTCGACAGTCTCGTAATACAACAATCTAATAGTGTGATAGTGTTTCCTTAAACTATGGGCATTGGCAGGTCCCATGGCCAGTCCCCCAGTTTTTTAAGTAAAAAAAAAAAAAAAAAAAATTTTGTGTGCGGGTCGTTCCTTTAAACGGGACGGTCGCTCTTCCATTCGCGGGCCCCACTGACACGTGGCGGCCCGCGATTGGATAATTTTTTTTTGTTTTTTTGTTTTTTTTTTAATTCTGTAAAAAAAAAAAAAAAAAAAAAAATTGGGACCAGAAATCGGTCCCTCCGATGTACATGCCCTTATAATAAAACTTTGTATTGCATTGCTTTTTATGAGCAGACTCATAATAGCTAGCTAGCTCCTTCTTTGCTTTGACTTTTAAAAGTAAAAATTTACTATAACATCCCATCTACCATGTGGGAAGACTGTTTAATTATCTTGAGGATATATGCTTTTGTCAGAAGAAAAACAAAAAAAGTATGAAACTTTATAGTAAGTAAATCATTTACATGTAATAACCGGCTACAAATACAGATTTTATATAGAGTATGAAAGTATTTGGGAATGGACTAACCGAAAAGAATAAAAGTTGGAAAGAGACTGAAGAGAGTAAAGAAGACTGAAGAGAGCATTGAACCAACCAAAAAGATATTTTCTCTTGGAACCAACCAATGTCCTAACTCTTAACCACAAATACCCAATGCTCTCTCCAACTTTTCAACGTCTCGATCCCCAAAAAATCCCACTAATTCCAGTTTCAAGGCTTCTTCTTCCACTAATCAAGTAATTAACTATACTATAATTACTTTAGAGAACCACCAAGTCATCCAACTATAACATTTTTATAAAATTAAAGAACCATATAGTTAAAAAGTTATCTGGTATATTGAACTTTCGTCTAGCCCTTGTATTAAAGAACCCACTCGTTTAGTATGTAAAAAAAGGTCATATGCTTTTTGTGAAAGTCATCTAGATTTCTTTTTGGTTAGCACATAAACATAGTAAATGTTATATAGTATGTGACAAGAATAAATGATGAGAAGGACCCATGCACATTCCTTGGTACCATTAAATGTTCCAATGGGATCTCTCGACATAGTATTCAAAAATATATATAATATACTAGTGAGTGTGAATTACGACAATGTTTTTTTTTTTCTTTTTGTAATAAGAAAAAAAAAACTATTCCCATGTGATATGTTACAGAATACAAAAATGTTCTTAGTTTTATTTATTTATTACGAAATTTCTAAGATATGTTAAAAGTTATGTACAAACCGAAAAAGAAGGTAGAAAGAGACAAGAGAGATTGAAAAGAAGCACTGAATCATAAACCAAAACACACTAAAACACCTTTTTCTCTCTTTGTAACTCTCAACTCATCAAAAACTCATATTTTCAACCAAATCCAAATATGTCTAACAAAAGAAACAAATCTCCAATTTTCCCAATGCTTGAATCTCAACATTTCAGTGATTATGGCTTCGATCCTCAGATCCATTACTTTCAGGTTCCTCTTCTTGTTTCTGTTCCTAGGGTTTTCGATATAGAGCTAGCTAGCTAAACTCTGTTTTTTTCTTTTCTTGATTTATTTTGTGTAAGGTTTTGGAAGAAGCAAAGAAACACAAGTCATCCTCCTCCTCATCCATTGATACGTTTCAGTTCAAGCTTCAGAAACCTATCTCAAGAGACGATATGATCCGAACCACTCTTCACAACAAGAACAAAAACAAGAACAAGAACAAGAAACGTTGGTTATGGTGCAAGAACGCTTTGTTCTTCTTCTTGAAGCGTCGTAGTAGATGCTCCGGTGGTGGTGACGACAATGAGTTTGATGATCGTAGTAGTAGTACTAGCAGCGACGTTCACATTGCTAGAGCTAGGAATTTTAGAGCCGGTTCTATATCTGGTCCGGTTTACGTGACGGAGAGCTGGAGCGGTTCTAGCACACCGTACCGACCGATGATGACTACGACGTCGGCGGTTCAGTATTTGAGTCTACGGGAACTTAACATGGAGCGGCAACAGAGGATCACTACCTCTTCTTCTTCTTCTTCTATGTCTGGTCCTATTTACTTGGTCACGTGATTTAACATCAGTTTGCAGAAACTTATTATAAATTTTTTTGATTGGCTCAAAAAAAAAAAGGAATTGATAAGATTTTTTTTATTTTTTTGGGAGGTGTGGTTATAGTTTATTTGTAAGAAAAGCTAAGATTTGGTTTGTGGGCCTAATGGGCCCAATTGTTTTAGGATATGATAAATCCATTACATAAGAGTGTTACAGAGAGAAGCTTAAAGGTAAAATAACCAGCTGTTGTTGTTGTTGTTTCTTTTCGTTGTTGATGCCAGATGATTTAATAACTGTTTTATATGTGGTTACCTAATTTTATTCGATTATACAATGTTTAATGTTACAAATTGTTCAGCAACTGATGAGAGTGTCTGAAATGTTAGATCTCAGGGTTTACATGAGTCGTAAACTTTTTAACTTAATATATGTTGACAAACTTTTTTCCGACGCAAAATGATTGAAACTCGTAGTCCATATAGACATCATTGCTTGCTTGATTGACAAACATAATCGAGAGACCTTAAGGGAAATATATATACAATATGATTTTCAATCCGGATAGGTAATATACAAAAACTCTTCGTAGGCTTTTTCTTAATAATAAGTACTAGCACCAATAACTATTGAGTTTCGTTGCAAGAGAAGGATCATAACGTAGCTACTTCTATGAATATTATAAAGGAAATGACGAATCTAAATCGAGATACTTAAGGCTGGTGTTGAAGAGAATTCTTGAGTTGTAGGGCTTCTTTCAGTTTACGACCAAGAGCAAACGCCAACGGTGGAGGAACCGCATTCCCGATCTGCCTATGTTTGTGTATTATGTTCCCAAAGAACTGGTAGCTATCCGGGAACCCCTGCAGTTTTCATATACAACCATTTCACCATATTGATAAAAGCTTAATACTACTCTACTTCCCGGAAAAAAAGAGCTCAACATTGTATCTGAAAATCATTTCATAAAGCAAGCGCTTTGCATTCACTGAGAATGTTACCAGAGGACTGACTAGGAACATAGAATTTTTCTTACCTGAGATCGGGCGCATTCACGGACTGTGAGGATTCTATCCTGGTCAGGATGGAAGCACATTCCCACCTTGCCCATGGGCTGAGGATCAGTAATGGAAGTCGGAAAATTGCCTTGCCAGTCTAATCTCCCATAGAGTCCCTTCCATTGGTTGTGGCGCTTAGCTGTGTTTGGCAGACACCAGGGAATCATTTCTACCACCTGTCCAGTTGATAATTTCACCTGTAATTGCAAAACAAAGCAATCCTTTTTAGTTTCCAGTGGTTGAACTGACAAAGGAAATCCCGTAGTAGGATGTATAGGACTGACCTTTTCGTCTGGCAGGTCACGCCAATCAGCACCTGGCCTTTTTGGGATAATTTTACATCGAATGAGGTTTATTTCATTCATCTCTTTGCAGATATGATCAGTGAGAGAAATCATGTCTCCTCTTATCTCTTTTTGGAACCACGAGACTGGCTCAGCTTTGTACTGCAAGACACAAGAATCACCCCAAACAACAAAAAAAATCAAATGGGTTCACGTTGTTGTGTTTAATAGATATGTATATAAATAGATTCTGTCTCCTGATGTGTTGTCATACCTCTTTGTTTATCCTAGATTCTCCGTTTTCTACTGCTGGAAGATCACCAATTGTGTCTCTCACAGTGATTGGGCGGAAAGGTGCACCAGGTGCAGTACTACGAACTGCAGCATAATGTAATCCTTGAGACAGAGAGATTTTCAACTTGGGAACACCAAAGACATGCATCGGCTCAGGCCATTCTGGGAGAACTTCCTCTGGTGCAGCTGCCCAAATAAAAGCTCTTTTACGAGATTGGGATACTCCATATGCGCCTGCCTCGAGGATTCCAAATCTCACCTGGGTAACATCATATTAAAAATGTTAAATCCAATATCACACTTTACTTTGCAAACCATTGCCCACGTAGCATACCAACTTCTACTCAAGAGCAATCAATTAAATAACGTTAGGACTTTACCTGGTAACCCATTTCGAGAAGGGAAGCCAAAGTAAGCTGAAATGTCTGCCCTTTATTGAATGAAACAAAGGTCCTCACATTCTCTAGAAGAAAATACCGTGGCCGGAAATAATCAGCAAAAGACAAGAATGCTAAAATCATTTCACATTGAACTTTACTCCAAGAGCTTTGGTTAAATCTGTTCATCCCCGAAAACCCCTGCCAAATTAATCACAAGTTAAGAGCTTTTCACTTATACAACGAAATTTTTAGACAAGTATTGCGACAATCTAAAATATATACCTGACATGGAGGTCCTCCGTTGATGAAGTCCACTTGACCAGGCAGTGGCAGAGTCTTCTTCTGGTCCTCACTAAGTTTAGCTGCGAGTTCATCTGCCTCAGTAGTAGAGACACAATCCTTTTGATCTCCACCTTTCTCCATTATAGCTCTGCAATTCATTTCAACAAACTGATCACAACACAAGAAATAGCCACACTGAAACAGTAAGCTTTTTACTTGTTGGCTATTTACCTAAGTATCACATTGCAGTTGTCAACAAAAACTGTTGACGCAGGATGGTTTTGTCTAAAAGCCTGCCCAGCTGGCTCTTCATACTCGATTGCCCATTTTGTATCAGATACACCTTGTACATATAGTATGAATATTAATACAACTAATTCAAGCATTTAGGAAGATTTTTAAGAATTGACTGGAGATAATACATACCAGCCTTTTCTAGTCCCTGAGACAGGCCACCACAACCAGCAAAAATATCTAGTGTAGCCAGACGCATCTCTTTAGGCTTAACAATCCCAGACTCAGTTTCACCCTCTACTCCCTTTCCCTTTTTCTTTCTTAGAAGTGTGTCGTCCTTAATAGTAGAGAACTTCACCTTCATATTGGCAGGCATCTGGTACAAAACAGTTAAGAGAAACAGTTCAACTTTGTATCGGAACAATAATCATAACAAATTAATTGCCAGAAACTAAAGTGAATAGAGATATACCTGCTTTAGGGAACCTTTAGAGGAGTCAAAGAAAAGTTCACAGAAGAAAATATGGTCTGATATTGGATATTCACGGCATAAGGGCATATCATTTTTCTTTCTTACTTCACATTTACCCTCTAGAGCCCCTGGATGGAGAACATCTGTATCCTGGCTGTAGTACAACTTAAGAAATTGCAAAAAGAAAGAGAAAAGATTGTAAGATAAACTTGAGAAGAAAACTCCCCCGATTAAAACATTACCAGATATAAGAAATAGTTCTTACTTCTTGGATATCTGAAGCATAGGCCTTCTCTGCAGAAACATCCTCAGGCCTGTAAAACCTTCTCACTTTAACATCAAAGGAACCCAAATCAGCCTTTCTAGATTCCTTTGGGACAATTTCCAGTAATTGGCAAACAACATATGCTCTTAACCCAATGTTCCGCCCAGACTTAAAAACAGTTTTGCTTCCCTCCTTCAATCCATCTATTGAGTCAGGGTTGACATAGACAAAATCCTCAATAGAATACTCTATCCCATTGGAGAAAAAGCCTGTGTTTGAAACATTTAGTTTAGTTGTAGACCTCTCCTCTTCATCCTCCCTTATCTTGCATGAATAGCAGAACCCAGAACTACGACCAATGTCACTTAGTGGAAGACTAAAGAATCCCCCTCGCTCAGGGGAGTACAAGCTTTTACAGTAGTATTCTGTTGGCAAATCTTTTGCTTTTCTTTCTAATGCTCTCTCCCTGTCAAGCTTATCTGCAGCGATGTTCTCTTTCCTATACTGATGCCCCCATGGCCTTGATCGAATCTCAAAGCCAACTACTCCTTTAATGTCCTTAAGCTGTACAGTCATGCATTCATTAGTCAGAAATAGTTCCCTCTCGTTGGATGCATTCCCCAGAACAGTCGCAGATCCTCTTTGTAAGAACCTACCATGTAACATTTTGCAGTGATCTGTACTTTCAAACATATACTCCACAAAATAGATGGCCAGAAGTTCATCTGAAACATCAATTTCTAAGGCAACAGCACCACCTACAACCACTGTTTCCCCTCCAACAAGGGCTTGTCGATAGAGAGGCTCACCAGCAGATGTTTTTCCTAGACTCTCGCCATCCCATCTGATTTCCCTTTTTCCAGAACTGGCTCGAATTTTCTTAGGAGTATGAGGCTTTTGAACCTCAACGGGCTCTGGTACAGTCTCCTCTGTGACATCTTCATTTTCACCTTCCTCTTCAACCTCTTCCTCCCCATTTTCTCCCTGGTCTTCCACCTCTTCCTCCTCATTGGCTGCACCAATCGCCTGCAATGAATCCTCTGGAGAGTAATTAGAGTAAAACTCTCCCCAAATCCTGTGGACCAGGCGAGTCGTTGTTGCTCGCATAGCTTTCCTCTTGGATACCACTGGTGCCATTTCTGCCCTTGGATTCAGATTCAGTTGCTTCTGCAAAATTTTCTTATTCTTGATGATCCATTTAGTGTGGTGCCTATCCTCCAATTTACTTGAAAGACCAACAACAAATGGACACTTTATGAATTTTTTGTTGGGATATGCTGCAAAAAGCTGTATGATAATTTGTCCATGGACAATCAAAAATCTCTGAACGGACAAAAGATCAGAAGAAATATAAGCTTTATCATTCGTCTGCAACCCAGACAGTCTTTTTGTGACATCTGCAAATGAAAACCTAGCAAGCCTGCTTTGTTCATTGAGCAAAGTAAGAATGCTTATCCCAACCGTTGCTGTTTTCAGAACAGGTTTATACCAAGGTGCATACTGCTTTGACGGCTTTCCTAGACGGTACCTGCACATACCTTATACATGAGCAACAGAAGAAAAAAAAAACAATCCAGAAACATGGAGCACAAAATACTAGAACAGTAAAAATTACCAGGCCATATCTGTTCGAATAGAAATGGAGATATATTCTCCCCCATACTCAATCTTCCATTCCTTTATTTGACTGAGGAATATGCTCATCCCATCAGGATCTTCTGAGTGGGAACCACTGTCAGGATCGTCAGGAGAAAACCAACATAAATTATCATCAGTCACCATGCCTGACCCAAAAATGGAGACATCAGTATCATCACAATGTTTCATCGGAAGAAGCTCCAGAGATATCATCCGTGAATCAGAGTTGTAAAGAGTCCAGTTGTGAAGCATCCTTTGAGGCAGGTCTTCAGCGTCGAGCTCATACAAAGCATCAGAAAGCATAAGCTCATCTGTTTCTTCTTTGGTGTTCTTATAGTACGATGGGAGAGGATAATCACTGGCTATCTCATTCTCATTGATCTTAATGTAAAACTTATTTGAAGCAGAAGCTGAGCTGCTGTTTTTTCTGGGCCGCTGCATAGATTTCCTATACTCTTCATCTTGTAACAGTTTAGCATATCTTCTGTCGTCATCCGCACCATCAACCAGTTGCTTAGATGTCAAGGCATTGGTCACAGCAACTTCAGAAACTCCATCAATCCTCAAAACCCCATTAGATGGTCTTCCTTGAATCTGTGCAGCCTTGTCAATTTTACTACTCTCATCTCTGAGAGCTACAAGAACAGGAATCTCAGCATAGCTTGTTTCATGTTTCTTGGCTGTCTCGTCCAAACCAGCTAATTGGTTATATATAAACTCTCCCTGAGATATAACGAAGTCTTGGATTGCCCCACCACTAGAAAAGTACTTGCTTCCACTCATTGACCTAGCAACGGCGGCAAGCAACTCATCAAGACATATATCAGGATCCCCACCCGAAGACTTAGACAATTTCTTATACACAGCCACTGACGCACAGGCTTTCTGATAGAAATAATCATAAACCTTCTTGTACCTAGCAGCAGGTTTACAACAATCATAATCCGCCAACTCCGTTGAGATCCATATCACCGGGGAACCATCTTCATAACCAGATATACTCCAATTCTCAACCCGTCCAAAAGATGGACACCTCACACCCTTTTCTTTCTCCTTGTCAGAACATACATCTGAAGGTAAGATAGCACCAGAAACGAATATGTCACTAATCTCCAACATCTCAACAGGCTGTAAATCTCCTTCTGAATCAAACAAAACGAAATCATTCAGCCTCCTTGTTGGACGAGGCTCGGCGTCACCACCTTCCTTAGCCGTTAACATTATCGCGACAATCTCCTCGTCCACGGTCTGCTGTTTCTTTAGTTCAATAGTAGCAGATTTCTCACAGAGTCGAACAGATTTCTCCTTGAAATCCGTACACGCTGCAGCACGCCTCGGCCTCCTCGTCCTAGGGACATCTTCAGTCTCTTTAATCTCTGGAAGCGCTCTCTTCTTTCCATTCATAGCCTTAACCCCATTCTCCACCATTTTCAAAAACCCTAATTTCAAACCACAAAAACCATCACTATAATGCAATTGAACTAAAATTTTCACATGAATCTACGTAATTGAACTGTATTCCACATCGCAATGAACAAATCGACTCCAAAAAAAAACAAAAACCCTAATTTGAAACCAAAAAAATCATCACTACAATGCAATTGAACTGAAATTTCCACACTAATCTACGTAACTGAACTGTATTCCACATCGCAATGAACAAATCGACTCGATAAAAAACAAAAAACCCAGCTAAATGTTACTAAATCTAGGGGTTTAACACAATCACTGTAATTTGAAATCTACACAAAATTCGGAGAAATAGACATAGAAAAACTTACTTGAGAAGATCAGTCGGAGAAACGTGAAATCAAACGCAAAAACCCTAATTGGTCAGAGAGAGAGAGAGGTTGAAGAAAAGCACTGATTTGATTTGAGATGAAGAGTGAGAGAAGAGGGAGAGAGAGTAATAATAAAAAGGGAGGAGAGAGAGAGAGAGAGACAATCGAAACGACGCGCGGCAATAAACGGCGCTAAAACTTTTTATTTAAAATGAAGCAAAAATCAGAAATAGGCGCCTGAATATATTTTTTCGCATTTTAGGGGTTGAACATAAAAATGAATCGAGTGATTTATTTACATATTGGGGAATATTCCCATATTAAATTCTTAATTTACAGATTTGTTACTAAGCTGAAATTAAACGGCGTTTGTTTATCTTTTTCCGTCAGTCAACAAAGTTATTGACTTGGATGATTACGAATCTCTTTAAGATTTTTGTTTTGACTACAAAGTAGAGATTTTTTTCTAAAACAATTCAAGATTTTTTTATTTTTTAACACAATTATTTTAAAACAATTTAAGATTTTAGAAGGTAAAAAAATGTGAGGGTTTGATTTTCAAAATGTGACAATATCATCCGACAATTATTTTAATTAGTTTGTAAGGCTAAGTTTTAGAGACTTGTCACTTTTAAGTTTTAACATTGGGGTTACTGTATATTAGATAGAATCATAGAATCATAAAGATGGTTCTTTGATTATAAGGAACTCGAGAACTACGCACGAGCCGCATGGTAGGTAACTTAAGTTTCTATCAAGACATTAGGAAACTCATACAGTTTTACAATTTCACTATACAAGTCAAGATCATAAACATTGAACAAAGGTAGCACTCGTCACTAGATCAAGTCAATTTGGCCAGATTCGATTGCTCTTTTTACAATCTTGTAACGTATGAAGTAGAGATCACCACGCTCCATCTCCACAGTCTCGGGGCTCTCACCTCTGCCCAAAGTAAAGGGAAAAAACCACACTTAGTAGATATATTACAGAAAGATTGTAGGAACAAGAGAATTCTTACTCTTCGTATAGATTGAGGGAGACAAAGTTCTTGCTTCTACAAACCACAAAGGTATCCAAATGCGGCTGCGGCACTGTAAGAATTCACAAATTATAGTCATCACTAACTAACCACACGGAAAAACTAGTAAGCTACTGTATGAAAAGGATTTGTTCAACTATAATAACAAGCTTAATTAAGTTAAATTATATTATGGTTTCAAAGTGCTGAGGTTAAGGTAAGTACCCATATCGTCCACTTCACTTATAAGGGATTGCTTGAGAACTGACTGATAATTCTCAGGCAACTTAAGCAGTACACTCTCTTCGAAATGCTTAGCTAAATCATCAGCACACCTGTAAACGTAAATCTTTTTAAAAATATGACTCGCAACGCCAGCTAATACCTTAAATTGTATAAATTAAGTAAGAAAAACAAACCTTGTAGCAAACACCTTCTCTTGCTCAGAAAGTCGTCTTTCAGCTTCCTCTGACTTGAGGTTGTGGAACATAAACTTCTCTATCTGCAACAATCAAATGAAAACCATTAAAGATGACATACAAGTCAAGAATTAGTACAAATATCACAATTCTCTTTACAGATGACATATCTGTACAACAGTTAACACTTGAACAAATGTTGATAAAAAGAGAAGTGTATTAACAACTATCAAGCAACATTCCATTCCAAATATCTCTTCCTACGAAATGATCAAAAGCAAAGTCTAAAGCAATCAAAACGTTGCAAATATAAAAATGTCTTACAGGAACACAGTCAAAACCAAAGTGTATTACGCAACATTCCGTTCCAAATATCAGAAATCTCCTTACAGCAAACACATCTTTACTACTAAAATTGACACTTAAAATCAACGTTGAGGAGCTTAACCCAGAGATAGAGATAGGGTGGAAAAACAGGACAGACCTTGAGGAGCCTAACCCTGAGATATGATCTGAGTAGAAACTGGGTTCTGTCTAAATCCATCTGATAAAGAGAAACCACCAAAGGGTCTATACCATTTTCCACATAATCGTCAATTGTTTCTTCCTGCAATCACCAAACTTCCAAAACTGAGAATTCCCAGGATTTTTGATATATAGTAGAAAATGCAAGTGACAAGACAATCACTCCTGACATAAACAATCACTAACACTTAAGTCACTAACCAAGTTCGATTTTTTATACAAAAGCTAACATTTTTAAATCAGTAATATTCTAAACACTTATGTTCCGGTAATGTAGTGATGGAAGGCTTAATTAAGATCATGTAACAATAGAATTAGTGGTTAATTTACTGAGAAACTCAACACAAAAAATTAGGGTTAGAGACAAATTTAGTTTTACCACCAATTCGATTTGCTCTTTTGCTCTTTGGACAAGAGCTCCTTCGTACTGGAGAATCTCCGGCGCCGCCTTCTCGTTACGCCACGCCCTCTTCAATAGCTCAACGTCCGATGTCGACATCATTGTTTCGTAATCCGCCGAAGATTCCCCCGCTTCCGAATTCGACGCCATTAGATCCGCTTCCCTCTCTATCTCTCTCTCTCCCTCTCCACTTGAAAGATTCAGAACAGATCAATTTGGTCGAGCGGGAACACGACTGCGGATTTGGCGCCAAAATAGGTCAACAGAGAAGGGGTTTAGGGCTGAAACCAAGCCCATTCAATGTAATTTGGATCCACCGACACAGCAATGGTTTAATTCGGTTTAGTAATTACATATACTGAAGCAATTGAAGTTAAATTGGTTTGGTTTAATTAAAAACCGTTGTCGGTTTTAATGTCAAGATTTAGGTTTTATTTCCTTATTTGTAAGTGAATCCTACATATGAGCCTCAAAGTGGTCCGTGACTTCTTTCGCCACACGCAAATCACAAAACCTATCTCTACTCTTACTACTCTCTAATCTCTCTCTCTCTCTCTCTCTCTCTCTCTCTCTCTCTCTCTCTCTCTCTCTCTGTAGTGAAAATCTCGAAAAAGAAACAATGGTGAAAAGAGGAACAAAGACGAAGATAGCGATCAAGACGATCACGAAGAAGAGTTCCATCGGACCTGCTTTCTCCAAACGCCGTGAAGGTCTATACAGCAAAGCCGCTCAGCTTTGTCTTCTCTCCGGCGCACAAGTCGCTGTCTTAGCGACTCCTCTTTCTTCTGAATCCAACGTCTCCTTCTACTCCTTCGGCCACTCCTCCGTCGACGGTGTTGTCTCTGCTTTTCTCTCCGGACAACGTCCTGTTTCCGTTCCTAGTCTTGATGATGACAAAGAGATGAGGGAGGACGTTGGTATCTGCTTGACTCGTAAGAATCTAGGGTTAGGGTTTTGGTGGCAGAACGAGAGCGTTGTTAGATCGGAGAATCCTCAAGAGATTAGTAAAGCTATCGATTCCATGTGGACGTTGTTGAGTAACCTTAAGGAGTTGCGTGCGGAGGAAGCTTTCTTCAGTAATCACGAGGACCTGAAGAACAACAACGAGAAGAGTGGTGTTGTTTTAGACCGTGTAACCCAAGAGCCGGATCAAACCCTAACACATCTCCAGTCTCCAATTTGTTGCATCGTCCCTGATCAGTCCACTTCTCCAGATGATTCTCTCATAGCAGATACGGCCTTCACTGATGATTCACCTGCAGATATAAACGAGATCACTGAAGAACAAGATCAAATCCTCGCACTTTGTGAAAGTTTCTGCGTTACGGATAACAACAACAACAACAAAGGTTCAACTGAAGTAAGCTTGGATTACAATCAAGAGTTGGGGATTGATCAGCTGATTGATTTCGATACTGAGTTTGAAAGCTCGCTAGATGATTGGTTTTCTAACAACACTCATCAGGAGAAGGAGACTACTGCAAGTGTTTTGACGAATTCTGAATCTGGTTATGATGATAATGTCTTGATGAAGACAATGAATCCAAATCTGTTCTCTGAGTTTGAAGCCCTTCAAGATGGAAATTTGATGCTTGAGATGTTTGGATGAAGATCATCTCTGCTTCTGTGATATTTACAACGACTTTTAACACTTCCACCGTTGAAAATAGTCTCTGCTCTTCTCTGCATTTTTCATTTAACTCCTAATTACTTCTTTATATGTATGTATTGGTTCGGTAAGAGTATGTAATGAATGAAGGGTCTTGTTTGACTTCGATCAATTATCCATATGAGTTAAATTGATCGAACTCAAACTGGTTCAGCTTCAGTTTGGTTAGTATTTGTGTTCTGTTTCTATGTTTTTGTCTTTGTAGCTTAATTCCAAAATCATTTGTTTCCATATACCTACTCACTCGGATCAATAAAGGAAGTATCTATCACCAACTTGTCTTATCTGGTATTGAAATCGGTAGCTAAACTATAGAACCAGTGAGAAATTACAAGACTGTGTCTAGCAATATTTGGCTTCAGTTTCATCAACTTCTAGCCTTCTCTACCTCGAAACACAAGAGGGATGAGTTTCTAATTTACCGTTGATTGCTGCAAATTCTTGTCGGGATAATGTTCACCTCTTCTCTCGTGTACAAGAAGAAATGCGCATTTGCAGGTGAAGAACAGAAGCAGAGTAGCAAGAGTGAATACCACGAGTGACTCCATTACAATCATAGATCCTAGAACTGCCACCAAGTAACATAGGTATTAAAATTTGAACCGAAGGAATCAGAGAGCCTTAGTGGTGAGAGGTGGGCAACAAAAAAACCAAACTATGACAAAAACCATTTTACTACTCATCATACTCCTTACTACATTCAATGTTTAGTATAAATCATGATATGATCCTCATATTCACATTCAATAGAACTAAACCAATTTAGACTTAAACCAAACAAGACAGAGCCAGATTATAACAAAATCGGATCATTTGAGATCAAGTAACTAAAAACTAAACCGAAGTACAAATCATTCACGTACCGTGAGCTGAAAGGGAACTCAATGGTCTCTTTCTGATGAGGTTTACTCGAGCCTCTGCGTGTAAAGGCAGTGAAATTCTCTCGGTGCAGTCAAGATAGCACCCGTAGTTGCCCATGTCACTCAGTTTCAGGGTCAAGACCGCACCATTCTCTCCTCCCTAGACAAGATTTGAGTGTACATATGAGAAACCAAACACATCTAACTGAAACACTGAGGATTTAATGATTTTACATGATGAAGCAGCTGTTGCATAAGGTCGTTGCATTGCTTTATAGTTCCACGAAACCTGATCCCACTGGCTTGGACATTCACATGTTTTGATATGGCAGCATATGTCTGAATTGGCTGCCACTGGAACATGTTCTTGATCTTCAGCTCAGTTGAGTTTATAAGCTCCGACGGTAAGTTTGTCAGCAGAAACCCATCAGTGACTTCCACAGAAAACGTTACTAGAAAATGAGAATCACCACCTGAAATTTTATTTTCTTTCATCAGTCAAAATACAAAAAGGTAATATTACAAAAGTGATCAAGAGTGAATTTGTGTTGTTAACATTACCGGGAAAATTAACAAAATCTGGATCTCCAACTGAAAAGTTGAACTTGTCTCTTCCCGGGTGAAAGATGAGTGATTCACTCCCATTACTCTCCAGCATTATATATGGAGGAACGTTGATGAACGGTGGATCATTGACAGGTTCAACAAAAACCGGAACATCCAGCTGATTGATCCCATTCTTGTTCTTTGTAGACAGACGAAGGGAATCAACACCAGCAAAATTCTCATTTCTGATGCAGACATACAACACCAAAGAATGAAAACAATGAGAGAGTAATGACTCTTGAAACTCTTGTAATACAAATCAATGAGTATCTATGATTCCATATATAAATACCCGAGATATTGAATCGACTGAAGTGCGGGATTGATAACTCCTATTTGTCCTTCTAAGATTAAAAGCCTTCCATTTTCACCTCCATTACTAACTGAGAGTCTTCCACTTGAAGGTAGTCTAAACTGCATCAGCATTGGAAATAAAATGACTGATCCTGAAAGTGCTTGTACCGTTACTGAAATGTTCTCCAACAGATCAGAGTAGCTTATCTCCAGCCCAGAGTAGCCACTGTAATAACATTAAAGATCAGGATTACCATATCTGAAGTGGAATAGAATACATATGTAAGAAATATAAATGAAGAATGCTTGCCCATATCTAGGACTGATTAGATCTTCAGTTGCTTGTAATCCGCCGGAAAATGAAACAAACTGAGGAGGAGCAGTGAGAACAAAGATGTAGACTGTAGCTGCGGCTAAGTTTCCGTTTATATCAGCTATTGTATAGGGAAAGGAGTCGTTTCCTGAAAAATCCTTGATTGGTGTGTATCTAAGCACTTTTCCATCTCTCAGAAGAGAACCATGACCTGGCTAACATCCAAAAACCAATAATACAAAACAACAGTTTAAAGACAAAGATTTTGCTACTGTCAACTTATTTAACTACTGTAATGCAACATTCATATCTCACTTGTGAGAAACCGAGCATGCTCGCATTGTCGCCAGCAAAATAGTCGTTTTCCAATGGATTGAAAGATATTGACTCATCTTCCCATACATTGACTGGATCATCGTAGGCTCTTGGAAAGTATCCATCTAAATATCATTGCAGAATCTCAAAAACATGCAAAAATTAAGAATCATGGTGTGTGAAAGAAGAAAAAGTAATGGACTTACTGCTATACACATTCACTTCAAAGGGGCAAGGTTGGATATGTTTATTGTCAACGGTAACGCATATTTGGTAAGTACCCACCTCCATGGCCAGATAGCTACCAGTATAAGTCCCATCATTATTATCTACAAATCCCCATGTAGTGAAACTTGATGTATTAGCTGAGGTGATCTCCAACTTTAACCGAGATGGTTGTGATGGTACAGGATTGTAGAATCCGTCCAAGAGCAACACCACAATTTCATTCTTGATTTGCTTTGGCACTTTTGCATTGAATTGGGTAACACTACATGCCGCCACGTTCACTTCACCTGAGGTAAGCAAGAGTTTGGTGACCATAACCAATGGGAAGTATCTAGTTGTCTAGATTCAGGTAAGGAGCATGATACCTGCAGATACTTCCTTGATGAAAGGCTGGCCTCCATTGAGGACTATGTTTCCAGATGATATAAGAATTTTATAGATTCCACTTCTTTTCGGAGTGTAAGTTACGTCAAAAATACTCGCTTGAGTCGTTGCTAGGACACCTGAAGCCTGCAAGAAAGAAACTAACTTAAGTCTCCAGGCCTAATTTTCATATGATATGCAGAGAGCCTTCTTACTCTTCCGCCATGTTTCTCATACAAGGGTGTAGCAGATTGGTATCTTGATCCAGTCCCTGTTAAATCATTCTCCAATATAAGCGACAAGTGAAACATCATCCAATCAACAAAAGTAAGAAGATCAAGAATATATGTTTGTACCATTGAGGGTCTCTCTTGGCTGTATGGTTGGCAGAATAAATGAGGAATCAGCCTCTAGTACGATTCTGACCTGAAGTCTATCCACTTGGACTAACGAGGGATAACCATAAGCATCTTTCAAATAAACAGAGAAGCCAAGAGACTCTCCAGCAATAGAAGCATTGATCCCTGAGCCATTTACTATACTTCTTGATCCATCACAATAACCTGTCAAGAAAAAAGAATGAGAAGAAAGTGTTACTTTAGAACATTCACTAAGCAGCATCATCATACCATAGAGTAACTTTTGGCAAACAACACTGACCTATATATACTGTATATGCATATGGCATACCAGAGATGCTCTTATTGTGCTTCATATCAGAAAGAGTAAGCAAGAAATTTCCTGGTTCAGAAAGGCTAAAAGACATCAATTGAATCCCTGGCTCTACATATTCAAACTCGAAATCTGCTACCGGTATGGACAAACCCGTCTCTTTTTCCACCACATCCGCATCGAATTCGTAAAACCCGGAAACAAGGTTTCCGAATCGATCTTTCTGGTGTAAAAACATCTCCATTTTGGAAAACACCTGCCATGTGTTTAGCTCTGACTTCCATATACTCACACAATTGGAAACATCCAAAGGTCCTACTCAAAACATACACCAAAGTTCTCAGCTTTTAAAATCAGAAACGTTCAGAAACAGAGAAAAAAAAAAGAGTTAACAGAAAAAAAAAAAAAACTCAATCACCTGAATTCACCATAAGTGGTAATGGACTACCATTCAATGTTTGGCTTTCTTTCTCCACAAGCAACAAAAATCTCCCAGAGGTCACAAGCACAAACTCAATCGAAATATAACCAGATTCAACCCATCTAATGTGTGTAATATCAAGATCACTAGCAAATGAACCATTCTCATAAAGAAGAGACAATAAAAACCCCTGAAACTCAATCTCCTTCCCGGAATACGAAATGTTATTCCCAAACGCGTCTTTCGGAAGAATCAAAACCGAAGCATTCGTCCCGGCTTCAAACTTATTCGTAAGTCCCATCCAAGAAACAACACATACTGATGGATACATTAACCCTTCACACAACAAAATTCAAAACTTTAGTACATTTCTCATACCAAAAACAACTCAAGAAAAATAAACCAAACCTGTTTCGACTTCGTAATGAAGCGACGAATCGAGAACTTTGAAATTCTCTTCGTCTATAACAATGTTGAAGATCCCAACCATGATTGGAGTAAAATAAATCTTCCAATTCTCAATATCTTCACCGAGATCTGACGAAACACCAGAAACATACGAACTGTTGCCAGTTTTGCCGTTTACGGTAACCGTAGGCTTAAACGATCTCTGCCCTAACGAAACGTTGCCATGGTTTTCGAAATTTCCGAGAACTTTGATCGTAATTGAAGCGATTTCTCCGGATTTGAACTTGCTTTTATCATCCGACCAACTGAATGTAAATTTCGGAAGCCCAGATTCATCTGTGGATTGTGAAATTGAGATTGTTACATTGAAGAAGAAGAAGAAGAAGAAGAGAGTTAACAGTGATGCGAATTTGATCGCCATTGATAATTATGAGAAACTGTTGTGTCGATTTGAAGTGTTTTTTTCTGGGGAAGAAAGCGCCAACTGTTCTGTTTTGGGTTTTGGTTTTTTTCAAAAACAATAACAATTTCATCGATGCGTGGATAACGAACACGTGTCACTTCTGCAAATTTAACCGTTTGATTTTTTTTTTTTTCTAAAACATAGTTACGGTATAACCTCTATAAATTAATACTCTATGTAAATTAATAAATTTATATGGGCTCAATATTATAATGTCATTTTAGTCACATTTTGATAAAATAATAAGATAATATTTTTTTTTAAAAAAATTCTTTGTAAATATATAGTCTCATCAATATTATAAATAAATAATTAGGTAAAATTTTCAAAATATATGTATATATAGACACATTAGTTTTTGTTAGAGTTTATTTTAAAAAAAAAATTTCAAATTTTTTTCCAAATTAGGAAAATCTCTCTATAAATTAATAATATCGATAAATTAAAACCTCGATAAATTAATAGATTTTCATGGTCCCAACATTATTAATTCATAGAGGTTTTACTATAGTTTTCAATTTTGGTCTGAGGTCACTGGCTTATTACTATTTCTTGTCCTGTAAAAATGTTAAAGATTCAATCAAAGGTTTCGAGTAACAATGAAGGAGATATGTGTAGAAGAGAATGATCCTAGAGAGCTCATCATCTCTGAAAGTGTATAATAAGTTACGATGGAAGACTACAATAAGCTTATCAAGTTACAATGTCTAGCTCCTGATGAGTGATCAATTGTGTGAGTAGTGGACTGGAAAAAAGTGTTTCAAGTAATATAATGACTTTAGCCGCCTCGACTACTTGTGTGAGTCCGTTTGGGTTTGATGATGACTTGAAGGAGCTAGCTATGACCATTGATACAACCATAAGACTCTAACCCTATGGCTAGATCAGACAAAGACACGATGCTATGACTTTGAGAAGACAAAAGTTAAAACTGAAAAAATTGTAGGGCTTTACCCCGAAGGGAGCCCTTCCAGAAATTCTCAAAGGCCGTAAAAGACCAAAGAGGGGGTTTGGAAATAGTTTTCAACCAGCAATAGACGCGCCTCGGTTAGTACATCATTAGCTGCGTCATTGCCCCAAGCGCAAAGATAAGTTTCTTTCTCCTAATGCCTCTTTCTTTTATACCTTAACCACACCCACCCACTTCATATACACTTCCGATGTGGGATTATTGAGTACCTTTATACAATATGTAACATATTTCTTAAATACTTACATTCCTAAAAAGTAATATTCTAAGTACGAACCAAAATGATTGATAATGGTAAATAAGGAAAGAGAATTAAGACTCATAATGGTAGAGGCCGCGCGAACGCAGGCCTCCGCTGCAACAAATAATGACGCAGGCTCTCCCACTTGGGGAGACCTTAAGCTAAGCACCCCTCCTTTATGTGCAATGGAGGTCACTAGCTTAGGCCACTCGTCTTCTTGATCACAAGTCGACCCCGTCCAGGTAAGTACTTCACTCAGTCGCTCCCCATCTTCTCTTTATACTCTGCTTCCTCAATCTTTCTTTCAGGTCTAAGCGATGTGGGACTAGTACCTTCTCTTAAAAAAACAGCATGAGTTTTGTGTTGTATAACTCATGGATGGGGCCGTACGTTCTCTAAGCCCATTACAGTTCATTAAATTACTATGTATCAAACGTTCTTTACTAATTAGAAAATATCTTGGGACACACTTACACACGGGTTAATGAATAATCTGTATTTGAGATATGTGTTTGAGCATCTTCAAGTTTGCAACTATAGTCATCTTATGGTTTTCCCTTTTTCTTGTTAAACCTGATGATCTCTATTATGGTTTTCCTTCAAACTTACTAGCTAGTAGTTAAGCTGAAAAAAAGGTAAGTGAAATTGAGCTTGGTTGGTGTAGTGGGAGCATTTTATTACCGATTCTTGAATCTCTCATTCTTGTATCAGTTGATTTTTCTGTTGATAAGTTTGAGATGCGTCTTACTGCTTACCCTGCGCTTGAGATGCTGATGTTTAACATCCTCAAATTGTTAGTTTTCTCCTAAAAACTGTCCACATCTTGAAACTCTAGGTGTTGGGGTATTGAAAACAACTTGTTAATTATATTTTTCAAACATGTAGAAAGATAGAGTTCATACTATATATGAATCCCTAAATTATGTCTATTTTATGTTTTCAGGGTTTTTTGCACCGTGTGATAGATACATGCGGTGATATTTGTGACTGCATTTGTGTTTCACTATCTTTGTGTCGGGTTATAAAGAAGTTAGATTCCGTTGTAGTACACTAGCTAATTTCTTGTTAACATTATATTAAAAAAAAAAAGAGGTTAGAGATTCAAGAGTTTTGAGAAACAATGAAAGAGATAAATTTTCTTATGATAAAATATGTTTTGGACTATTTTCCGTGTTTGAAGGATCACTTCTGAAGGAGCTCAATGTCCCTGAAGTTACTGAACTTAAACTGTAGACAAAGGAACTACAAGTAGTCATTGAGTTGCAATGTCCAACTCAAAGGTGTGTGAGTCTTTGCATATATAGGACGTTGACTACACAAAAGAAGTATACAAGGTGCTCATAATTTTGCTAAAGTCTCGTTGAGGTTTGAACTTGACTTCGGTTCATTCTTGTTACTGGTTTGAACCCCAATTTAAACCGGGACCAAACCAAACTGAATTTTTCTTCTCCTTCCCTTTATGCCTTATGGACGTTCGATTCCTTGTGGTTTCATTTGTTCGTTTCTTGAATGGTTATAGTCATCTCAAGTCCATTTCATCTGCCTTGTCTTTCTCAGTTTTGTTAATTAGCGTGCATCTTAAGTTCCATAACACAAAATAGGATATTAGGATGTTCCAATCGTCATGAGTTCATGAGGAAAAAATACCAACGTGTATTATTTGTCGCCTTGTTGTTAAATTTTCATTTCAAACTCTATCCACTAAAATGCTCACACGTTAAGTTGTTTTACTATAGTGCTTCATGCACCATTGATTTTATTCTGTCCAACAATAACAAACTCATTATTATGGTGTCAAGTTTACGCTTAAGCATTTTTTACTTTCTGAATTGACATCGATCGATAAATGTACTGTAGACAAAATTGCTCAAGAGAAACAAAAGTGTTGATGTAGACAAAAAGATATATAAACAGTTAAAAAAGACGAAGAGGACAAGTGTTAAGCAAGGCACATCATGGAACGAAAAGGTACGAAAGCTTTTTCGTGAGGTAAGAAACGTCAAACCTCAAAGGTCTTAAGTGTTTGTTAACAAGAAAGGAAACAAAACATAATGTGTCTCTCTCCTTATCCCCTCCCCACCTATCTCCTTCGATCGGGCTTTGCTTTCACTACACCCAAATATGTATAGTTCTTGGCTAATATCTATATTTATCTACTGTTTAGACTTACGATTCCTCCATGTGAACTAATCTTAACCTTTCTTTCATGCAAGGATCTCTTACAAGTTACAATTACGTACTCGTATAGTTATTGTCAACTATAAGAATTGTGACTTATTAGATGTTAGTTTCATTTCAAACCTCATTAAACAAGTACTAGCTAATTAACTGCTTGTTCCACACGCCCAACATGTTAACATTAGTTTGGATCGAATAGAAATGAAAATGCAGAATAATATATTTCCATTTAAAGGGTTTCTGAAAGTATAGAGTTTATTATAAAAGCTTTAGTTGTTGTGAAAGATAATTAAGGTGAAGAAAAGAAGCGAGAAGAGCCACAAGGACACTAATATGATGCCTATTTTGGTATGGGTACACATGCACATGCTTGCACATGTGTTCCGGCCAATTAGCTCTTGTTTTTCCATGTGGTTCGGTATCTCTATATACACTCATGCACCCAATATATCTTAACACGTCATGGTCATAGCCCATCGCATCCGTTGAAGTCGTCATCATCATCCAACTTATGATGAATTCAATAATGCAAATCTTGGTTTCCATAAAGTTTTACATTCTCTCCTTGGCCAATGATGAAGACACTTGCATTATAATGTATAACATACATATAGATATGGAAAATTTTGTAATAAAAGATTACATAAATGAAGATCATTCATAGTATATGAAGAACCAAAAATATTTTCTGTTAGTATAGTATCCCTTCTTCACATTTGACAATAATTTGATCGACATCAGGTGAATTGACGTTTTTGCCCACCAAGTCATGAGCCTTCAAGGACTCTTTGTTCCAATCTGTGTTATAGACAACGGTCAAAATAGAGATTGCACAAGCTAGCTGTGCCCCAAGCAAACCATAGCATAGGCCCATGAAGCCTAAACCCCACACAAAAGCTAAAACAACGGCCACTGGTGCTCCAACTACATAAAAGGCGTAGAAATTAATCTTGGCTCCTACACGTGGCCTCGCACTGCCACGTAGGATTCCACAGCTAATGGTTTGAGGACAGTTGGCAAGCTCACAAGCTCCTATCACCGGAAGAACCGCTGCCGTCAGCTCGAGGACAACCCCGTCCGCCGTGAAAACTCTCCCCCATGCTTCTCTCCCCACGGTGGTTCCTACAAGTCCAAACACTGACACGGCCACGGCGGCTCCGACGGCTACTGTCGCCGCGGTACGTGCTTTCTCTGGCCGTCCTGCTCCTAACTCGTTGCTTACTCTCGTAGAGACAGCGGCAGAGAGGGCTGTCGGGATTGTATACATCAGTGACGTTGTTTGTATCACGATGGCTGCTGCTGCTAGTGCTACCTTCGGCTCCGGGAGATATCCGGCGAGGACCGTCATGAACTCGTACCACCACCACTCCAAACAAACTGCCATACAGCTGGGGACAGCGAACTTGATCAGCGTTTTCCACACTTGATCTTCACCGGAGTCTCTCGAACCAGACAGGATCAACGGCGTATCAAGACAAAGAGACTTAGAACTGGTTTTGTCGTTGTTCAAGTAGATGTAGCAAAGGAGGAGCGATAAGGAGATGAAGTTGGTCAGAAAAGAAGAGACAGCGACTCCGGCGACTCCGAGAGAGATGTAAAACGTGAAGAAAGCAGTAATGGGAAGATGAAGAAGGACGGATACTAACGTGCACCACATCAAAGGCCAAGTGGTGCCTTTACAACGTAAGTAAATACGTAAAGGATGAAGGAAGCTATTAGCAAGAAGATCAGGCAAAGAGAAAGAGCAATAAAGAGACGCGACACGTGTGATATCATGTTGTTGGCGGAGCATTAGCATTAGAGGCGTGAGGTTTAGCCAGAGGAGTGAGATGGGAAGAGAAGCTAAAAGAAGGAGTAAGATGGTTCGCTTGAGGGTTAAGGAAGCGAGTGAAGGGTTCTTGGAACCGATGGCTTGACCACAAAGTGGTTCCATACCCGTGGCTAAACCGGAGAGGACGGAGTAACCGGTGATGTTGGTGAAACCGACGGCTAAGGCTCCTCCAGCGAGCTCAAGGCTACCGAGCCGGCCCATACACACGACGGAGGTCATGTTCTTTAGGTAGTTTAATATGCTCATGGCGGCCACCGGAAAACTTATGTCCCAAATCCTCTTCATCTCCTCCACCACCTTTCAAACAAAACAAAAAAACATTACTTAGAAAATAAAATAACAAGAGAGGAGATATTTGAAAGACTCTAGTTGAGAGAGAAGTGTACCGAGAATAGAAATTTTAGATGATAAGTTTAAGTACCTCGGGCATTGTCGGGTTGTACTTGTGTTGGAGATTTATGAGACGTGAATCTTGTTCGACCACCATTGTTAAGTGTTTTGTTTTTTTGATTGTGATGAGAGTTTTATAAAAATTATATATGAAGAGAAGATGCCGTTTTATAAAGATTTTTTTAGTAACGTGGATTTTGAGTTTGGCATATGATGTCATTATTTGTTATCCATTTTATTCTTGTGGTCTCTAATATATACAAATACAAATAAAAACGACTACGTATAGTTTGAGAAAAAAATAAATATGATATGATTAAAATTAGTCAAGTCGATCTTTATTACTACAATTCGAGACAACTACTATATTCTAAATTTTATTAAACAAAAGAATTTATTGACCTAAAAAAAAAAGAACGAATCCAGAACTGATTTTGTCGTACAAAAGTGTCACATAAACAAAACGAAAGTATAGGCATG